CACTGAATTGGTGAACAGCCGACGGGGTGAGAACAAAAAGTAAAGAGCAAGAATCTAGGGTGACTGAAGGAAGAAAGATTTTTTTTTTCCCAACTTCTCAAATGGAATCGTACACCAAAACTTGAGATATTTTCAAAGTTGTTTAATCTTCTTGGAGTCTATAGTGGTTGGTATGTGACAATTTACAATTATCCTGCTATATTCGTCAGACATGTCCTTTTTCTTTTTTCCTATGCAAGTTGGTAATGGCGGTTCAGGGTGTGCAGTAGCTGTTCATTGGTAGCACCAGATTATCATTTAATTTTTACTTGCTGGGTGAGCTTCCTTGAACTACCTTTTTTTTTAAGGCGTTTGTATTCCCTAGGTTTCATTAATAAACCTGCTTTATTTGCAGCTTTTTCCCTTATGGCTTCTACATCCTGGGTCAAATATAAGATCGTTTACAGCTCATACTACCCACCCTCCCGTCATTGCATTATTGCATGTTCCATTTTGGTTTAGCAGCGATTCCACGATGACATTCCCCATTGGGAAGCAATTTACAGTAAGCTTATAGCAATGTTATGTCTTACTTTTATGGTAGTGAGTGCATGTTAGCCAAAGCCTCAGAACTGCCAGTTTCCCTGGTATGTTGACTCAATACCACTTACGTGACTCCAGGTCAAAATCACAACTACCACAAATTTTTTCAACTTATTCGGCTATTGATTGTTTATATATACAAGAACCTGTTTTGTTGGATTGAGAAGGAGCTTACTGATTGTCGCTTTTGCTCGCTGAATAATCTGAGGACAAAGTTTTCTCCTCAGGATTAAGCTTGTAAATCTATAATTTTGGTGTCATGTTGGGAACCGTTTTACAGGTTTAAGCATTAATTCTCTGTAATATGCAGTAATGATACTTGGAGTCTTTGAAAATGAAATGTTAAGAATCTGTTTATATCGTTCAGAAAGGTTAAAAATATGTTAATTCTTTTAGTAAATTACACACTTTTAATCTTTAAAATTTGGGACACATATAACTTTGTTCTTTACTATCTAAAAAGTAACTTATTATTAGTTCTTATACTTCTAAACGTTATAACAAAATTATCTTTTATCAATATTTCCATTAAGTTTGGTGTTAAGTGTCAGTTGGCTGCCCCGCTCGAACATGTGTCAACTAACTTATATATTTGAAAATTTTTTATCCAATCTGAATTTTTAAAAATTTAGATGATATTAAAATTAGAAAAAATAAAGAATTATTTATTTTTAATTAGAATAGTTTATGAAATATATTTGAAAAATTAAAAAAAAAAGTATCTAAAATTTTTTTCTTTGGTTCTTTATTGTTTTTATTTTATCTCTTCTTTTTCTATTTTTCCCCCTCTTTCTTCTCTCTTTACCGTTAGAAGTATAGGAATTTAACAAATTACTTTTTTAAAATATAAGAATTAAATAGTTTGTATTTTAAATTTTACTATTTTAGGGATCATGGGTGTACTTTATTCTAATGCTGTTGGATAATTGAAAATTACAAAAGAATAGAGCTAAATTTTGCTAGGAAGTATAATATAAGTTTCTATGACACAAATACATGTATATATTTTTTGAAAGTCATGAAGATATTTATTTCACTACCATTGCCTAACCTGTACAATATGAAACAGGCAGAAGAAAAACATTGCCTGTAGAAACAGGAAAACACCCTGGCAAGACTCATAACAGAAGGTTTACACCACCACCTTTACCAGAAAGCCTGAGTGTAAATTTCAGTCTTAACTAAAACCCCTGTACAACATCTGGAAAATACAAAAGATAAAAAAGGGAGCCATACAATATAACATAATTCCAGCAAACAAGGTGGAAATAGCCATTGAGAGAGGACTCAACAAAATCAGCAAATCAACAGTCTTTCAGATCCTCATTAAAAGCCAAAACCACTGAATCCAACAACCAGCACCGCAGCTCAAGCATTCTCAGAAATATACACGACACAAATACATTATGATTCATTCATTAAGCAAAACCCTACTACTGACACAAAATCCCAAGATTAACGATATAGGAGGAAAAGTGACTTACATAAATATTTTATGATTCATCTATTAAGAAAAACACTTCCACTGAGTGGATCAAAATGACATAATTATATGTTGTGTAACTCAAAAACTATTAGGTCAGTTTTTATTTTCTACCATATCAGATGCTTTAGGAGGCTCACGATGCAACTACCTTTCCCAACACTTATATAGAGAAAGGAAGCATTAAGAACCTACAATCATATATTTTTGTTAGAAATTATATTATATCTTGTAACATGTTTTTAAATTAATTGGCTAGACATCTTACGGTAGATTGAATTTTTTTTTTTTTGAAAGTAAGAATAATTCATTAAAGGGTGTAACCAATGGTTAAACTCCAAAAAAGCTGCAATTTTAAGACCTATGTGCAGTTCCAGTGATGGCATAACCCTCAAAATTACATAATTGGGCAAAGCTAAGGGCACTAACATGGATTTTCCTAAACAATAAATTCACAATTCCCACTCCTTAAATGTTGTCTTTAATCTCAACCTTTCAATCAGAGCACATCAGCATCACGCAACCGCTTTCACCACCTCTCCCTACCTCAGGAACCAATGAAGCATCAGAAACATCTGTCGTAGACTATCTCCAACTACAAAACAAACAAGCTGTTCGCCTACCAGTCAATACTGAAAACAGTAATCAGGTAAGAAAGATTTCATGCAAGCAGGCCAACGCTACAACAAGCAAGAGAAGCATCCAGTCACACAGAGAAGCACCTAAACCATCACAAAAAATGCCACAAAACATCTCGCTCGTCATTTACTCACTCCTGCCCCCACCTCACTTCTCCTACTTAGATTGTCCTCCCTAACGTTCACTAGGTCCACCTCTCTGCCTATAAGCCTATTCCTGTTTTAGCCAAATTATCAGCTTGTAGATTAGCCTCCCTTAGAATATGCTTAATCTCCCGCTTTCTCAATCGATTCTTTAGCATTTCGATATGAAGGGTCCATCTCCTTAGTCTCCATGGAACAGATTCTGGTGTCTGGACCCATTTAACTACGTTCCGAGAATCGATATCAACAACTAGAGTATGAGTATTACACCATTGCGATGCTGAAAACATCACGAAAGTTTCCCTTGTAGCTAACATTTAGGCGAGATTGGAGTCAGCAATCCCTATTGATTTGGAACAAATCATTCTTATCTCCCCGTTTAAGTACTTCAGTATCCCCCCAATCCCTGCTTCCCCCGGACAGCCCGTCGCTGCCCGTCAACATTAAACTTCATAGTCCCTTCAGCAGGTCTTTTCCATTGAACAATTGGTCTGTTCTTCCTTTGCTTTTCGAGAATAGCTTCGAGTTAGGGTGCTCTAAAAGTGTCCGATATACTGCCATACTCGTGTGGCCATTTTGCGTTAGCCCATGTAGCCACACGGAGTTCAGCAAATTTGTAGAGTTGATTGGGATCCCACACTTTGCCACAGAACACAATATCATTTCTGAATAGCCATAAAGACCACAGCAAAGCATAAAAAGCCATTTTCCATAATCTGATCTCGCCTCCTTTCATCATAACCCCGGTCCATGATTTAAACAAGGTAACCAAATCAGTCGGCATCACCCACACAAAATTCCAATCATTGCACCATCTCATCCAAATATTCCATGTTTCAACACAGTTTATAAAGAGATGGTTTATTGATTCACGTGGCTGATTGCATAATGGGCAGAAAGCTGCACAAACATTCATCAAACCACGTCTTACAAACTCGTCTTTTACTCCCACTCTGCCTTGAAGAAGTTGCCACACAAAGACTTCAGTTTTAAAAGGGGCCATATTAGCCCAAAATATAACTGAACACACTTGTTTTTTATTTATATATGTATTCTGTAGGTACTTGGTTAAGTCTTGATACATTCTGGTATGTCAAACATCACATGCGATTATACAAGTTAACATGAAAATGTCTTTTCCATGAGAATGAAGTATCATCCGCTGGAAAATGGACATGTTAGTAAGCTTAAGGGGGACAACTTCAGTAGGAAACATGGAATGTTTTCGCCATAAGAGTGAAGTTTCATCCTTGGAAAACTACTGCGAGCATGCACATCTGGAAACCTTTGGGGTGACTTGATGGTAACTATGTATAGGTCAATGATATGGTTTCAAGCTGTCCAGTAAAATACATTCCAAAGCCTTTGAAATTAATTGTTCAAGTTGTTAGACAAAATAATTCTACATTTAAAAGAGGGGTACCGTAACTTAAATATGAGATGTTCTCGGGGTACTCTCACAGTTAGAATTTAGACTCTATCTTAAAGATTTCAGATTTTGAGTCCTGAATTAAAGGGAGATTACTTATGGATAAATAGTAGAGGGTTACCTCTCATTGTGTTTCCTAAAATCAAATCTATGTTCTTTTCAAAAAATAAAAAAAAAATCAAATGTATGTACTTTGAACAAAAAAAGCAATATAATATATTAATTTCTGCTAAGCTTGACTCTCCTTTAAGCCACTTGATTTAAACTAAAGTCATCGCAAGTAGAATAAAAACTTTTAGCAAGAATAATCTGGGCTTAATTGCTTGTGCTTGATTAGTAATCTGATGATTATGCATTCCCCTTCTTAAGCATAACTTAATCTTTGGAGACTAATTAGCAATGTGGATTACTACTATAGATACTCGAATTTTAAAAAAAATAAAAATAAAAAGAATTATGGATCTTGTAGCAAAGAATTGGATCTCCCGATATGACAAAACGAAACAATGAAATATCACAAATTTTGCGTAGGTGAGGAAAGAGACGCATACTTAACGGTAAACAGCTTCAGGCTGAAAAACAAAGACCCTTATCCTCTTGCAATTCATATTCATACTTAGTACATTGTGACCCACCTAAATTCCCAAAACCACCAGTCCAAGTCAACCCTTCCCCTTCCCACCCCTACAAACCCCAAATCCTCCCCTATATCTATGCTTCCCTTGTGATTTCTGGTGGGGTTCTCTCTATCTCTATCTCTTTGCCAAGTTTCTGAGTTCAATTCGGGGGAGTTTTCAAAGAGAGACAGAGAGATAAAGGCCAATGAGGAAGCCTTGCTGTGACAAACAAGGCACCAACAAGGGAGCCTGGTCCAAGCAAGAAGATCAAAAGCTCATTGATTATATACGTATTCATGGTGAGGGCTGTTGGCGTTCCCTCCCCAAGGCTGCAGGTTTTGCCTCTATAAATTAAACAGAAGCAATTACCTTAATTTTAAGTCCCGTTGTTTTACACTAATGTTTTCACCCATGTAAATGGATCACCAGGCTTGCACCGTTGTGGCAAAAGTTGTAGGCTAAGATGGATAAATTACTTAAGACCGGATATCAAACGCGGCAACTTTGCTCAAGATGAAGAGGACCTAATTATCAAGCTCCATGCCCTCCTTGGTAACCGGTATGATTAAGTTTTAACACGAATTTCATACATATATGCATGAGAATATATATATATATATATATATGTGTGTGTGTGTGTGCCATGCGCATCTATATATGGTACAATATGTTAAAATAGTTAATTTTTTATGATATTTGGTGTTAGGTGGTCATTGATAGCTGGTAGATTGCCTGGAAGAACCGATAATGAGGTGAAGAACTATTGGAATTCTCATATAAAGAGAAAGCTAATCAAATTGGGAATTGATCCTAATAACCATAAGCTGAGCCAATATCCCCTTCGTCCTCAACCGCAACATGTTTCCCCTAGTTCTCCCGCATCCTTGAATGTGGCCCGTAAGCCTAGAAGGTCTTCGGTCGACAAAGACAGGGTCTCAGATGCAGCAAGTTGCCTCGACGATGAAAGATCTGGTCGTGTTTCAAAATTGGATCTTGGTCTTACAATTGCATTTCCGACTACTCCAACCAATCATATTGAAGAGAAGCAGCAGAATACAGCATCAATAATGACAAGTGAAGAAGAAAATTATACAGCTCCTACCCTTCTTCTTTTTAGATGATCAGAAAGAGCCTGATATATATGGAGATTCTTGCAAAGACCACTGTGGGCTGGGGCTGAGGGCTGGGACAAGCAAAAGAACAAATTAAGAAGGAAACATATCAAATATTTTTTGGAAATGAAGGATGATGGATAGAATCATATATATCTGATTTTTGTACAATTGGAGAAGGAAGATAAGCTGAACAATTCTCTCTGAACAAAGGGTTGAAGCCTCTACAATTTAGATTTGATCTGTTGAATTGTATTATCGATTGTATATAATTTGGTAGAAGCAAATTATATTTCAACTCTAGGAGGCTAACACCAATTAACTGAGAGACAGAATGTAGAAACTTCGCATCAGTTTTCGAAAATGCTGCCTAGAAAGGAGCTTCTACATCAATCTTATTTTCAACACTTCAACCTAATGTAGTAGGATGAGGGCAGATCTATGATTTCTGTGTTATCCTGTATGTTGTAGTTATGAATAATATGATCATAAAGCTAACGACCTGATGCCATGGAGACTTCAATTCACTGTACAATTTTTCTTTTGCATGACACACAAAGTCATTATCAAAACGTTTGATTAATAGCCAAAGAAACTGAACCTGACATTTGAGGAAATCTCTATTTCTTTTTGTGTTTTTGGGAAACGCAAAGGTCATTCAATTAAAATGAAAGGAGTACAAAAATACTGTGAAAAGTCTCCACTTAAGATGGGTGAAGATTTTCAACAGCAAAAACAAACCCCCATCATTTGAGGAAATATCTGTACTATTCTCTACAGCTGTGATCAGACTAACTTAGCTATTAAAAACATTGGATGTCATTGTATCAATAACTTGAAACCAAAATTTACATTAACTAGAGATTTATTTTCATTTTAGAAAGAGATCAAGGGATTAAGATCAATGTGATTTTTTTTATAGAAAAACTGCAATTCAATTAATAAGATTAAGGTCTATATGATTATTGAATGTTAATTTTCATTTGGTTATGCATGCTTTGCTAGAATTCTACAAAAAGTGATTATATATTTCTCCAAAAAATAGGGAAGATGCATGTTTTGCCATGAGTAGGCAATAACTAGAAATAGCCTGTGTTGGCTGGCTGCTAATATATCTCTTTCATGTATGTTGGAATTTTTTTAAAGAAGAAATTATGAAAAATAACCTTTTTTGATAAAGATATTTTAAAAATAATTATCAAAATAAATTTAACCATTTTTAGTTATATTTAGTCATGACTTGACAAAAATACTCTTACAGCAATTTCAAATAAATTACATGGTGAGAGAGAAATCGGAAATACAAATGGAGAGAAATTGTTGTAAATGGTATGTAACAATAATATTTTTTTTAATGTAACAACTTTTTTTTTAACGTGTAACATATTTTTATACATAATGTATAACAACATAATCATGACATGTAATATGTTTTTGTACATAACGTGTAACAGTAATATTTTTTTTAACATGACGTGTAACAACCTAACCATAGCGTATCACATATAAAAGTACATAGAGTGTGACAACCTACCAGGGCATGCAACATGTTTTTATACATGACGTGTAACAACAATATTTTTTTTCAACATGGCATGTAATAACAGTATTTTTTTCAACATAGCATGTAACAACCTAATTATAGCATGTCACATGTTTTTGTACATTATGTGTAACAACCTAACTATAGCGTACAACATGTTTTTGTACATAGCATGTAATTTTATCCAACTTAGCTAAAATTAGTTAAAATTATAAAGAAAATTATTTTTAAAAAGATCTCATCTTTAAGAATTATTTCTAAAAATGTTCCTTTTTTAAATTTGGTTCCAGAAAATTTAATTACTCACACAATCTTTAGAAAGTGGACTTTCAGCTTTCTTACCAACAATGGAGAATGGAAAGGGGCATTTCATCTCATTCCACTGAAGAAGAGGTAACTTCCATTGTCAAACCACTCCACTAAAATTGCACCATGTAAGGTAATATTAACACTGTTGTAGATATACTGAAGTTAACTTTAAAAACTAATGCGTTAATTTGAGTCATGCTAGGCCATTGTTTCGTTTATTATTATTATTCTGGCTAAGCTCGGCCAATTGGTTATTAATTTGGTTTGGTTTTGGTTTAATTTCTTTATTTGCCTTTTCTTTTTGGAAGTACTAAAAAATCTGTTTGGATGCGAAAGTATATAAATTTTTGAAGGATTACATAAGAAAAAATATGCAAATTTTAAGAAAACAAAATGAATGATTTTATTTGTATATAGACTAATTGCGTTATAATTGATCTCTTTCCTTCGGTTGCTTCTGCGTTGGCTGCCATGGTCTTGCTGTCTTAAACGTCCGATTGTTTAACTCTTTTGGGTGATCTTGTCCGTTAGGTCCTTACTTCTTTGCTACCAGCTTCGGCTTACGACTGGCTTGAGTTCTTGTTTAAGCTGTTGTTCCTTGTTTTGATGCTGCCATTCTTCTTGTGCAGTTGAACTATGTATTTCCTGGCTTTCCTTTTGCCAATCCGATTTTCTTGCCATGAGGAGTCCTAGGCAATTTCAAGACTTTCTTTGGCATATCGGTAGTATGACTCATAAAATCTATCTTTCAAAAATAAATATTATAATATTATTTTCACCATTTTTTTTTACTTTTTGACAACGCTTAAATAATAAAACAATTAAAAAAATCAACCAAATAAAGTCTAATTATTTCTAAAAATGTTTAAGAGAACATTATTGTTTGAAATTTAAAGGGTTAAATTCCCATGGGGATTCTAAATTCATTGAAATGTAATGCCCCAAAAACATATTTAGGGTGGTAGTAATTTGAAATACTTTTATATGTATATATATTTGGAACAAGAATCAAAATTCACTAAAAGCATTAAGAAAATTTCATTTTAATCAAACAATATTAAAAATAAGAACATTACTAAGGGTCCATGGGTCAAGTTAGACCTGGTCGAACAATTTACCGAGCCTCCTTTTTTAAAACCCAAATTCAAGTTCGATAACAATTATTTTGTTATTAAAATACTAAAATTTTATTATGTTATTAAATTTCAATATTTTTAAATTCAAATGAAATAAAAACATATTACTTATTAATAAAATAATTTAATTGGATCGGATTAGACTTAAGTCTAAAAGTTTGTGCCCAAATTCAACTTGAAATCAGGTCGAGCTTGCGCCTCAGGAAAATTAGCCCGGCCCTTTGACTCATCTAACTGCTAGTTAGTAACTAAGAAATAACATTATAACAATATTCCAAATAATGGGTAGGGCTGTCCGAAAGACTATTTCAACAAAAGTATAATTTGTTAGTCCTTATTAAATTATCTCAGTTATTAAAAAAGTATTGTGTGATTGTATGAAGCATAATGTTTTTAATTAGTTAAGATTCCACGTGAAATGGGCAAGGAACAATGATTCACTTCAAGACTAGTTATGGCAGGCCTTTTTCCATCGTGGATGTGACGTTGGCTGAAGATCGAGATCTGTACAGTAAGTGTTTTCTTTTTATAATTAAAAAAAGAAGAATTCTAATTTTGTTTTTTAAGTAATATATAATCAATGAGACAAATACTCAAATATTATACAGTAAATGTTTTGTCACGTGATAATTGCTGGAGACTGGTCTACGATTGGTACTCAATTAATTGGTTCTAAAATTCAAAGAGCAATAAGTGCAACTAAAACCTGTAAAACCGAAAGTTAGCAGCCACTTCCTAGCAGTCAATGCGTCAACTGTGAATTTGTGAGGCAAAAGTCAATCTATTTACCTCTTGCCTAACTAGAGTTAGCCACGTATAGTAACTTATGTAACAAGATCACATAGACGAGAGAGTGTTTCAACAATTAAAATTTGAGATTTTAATTTAAAATTTTTAAATTCAAATAATGAGATGAAACATATCAGATTTATGCATAAAAGGACGAGTGATTTTTTCTAATTATATTGCTCAAGACAAGATCAAATGTATCCAAACGGTATTATAACAGCATAAGGAGCACCTTATCTTGGATTTCACTTGATTCTAGTTATGATTAAATAAGACTAAAAGTATTGTATCTTCAATTCTATTAGTTTTTTGTCTTTTATTTTTTTAAAGGTGGATTTTATTAACCATACGATAAATATGTCAATGTTAGCCTCAAGTTGAAATTGCTAGAGACTTTCATTGGCATGGAGACCGGCTTGGCAAAAGAGACAGAGCAGTCTGAGCAATAAAGAATTGGCAACAGGAAAAAATGGCAAACATCAACCCAAGAGGGCTAAGACTTTACCTTAAATAGAACATCTCTAAACAAACAAATCAAAACCAAAGGCATCAAAACAATGAGATCCGAAAACAAAAACAAGGGGCTCTAAATCCAAGAATTCCAAAATAGCGACAAAGGAAATTACTGCGGCTTGACAAACCTGAACCATAAGAACATCAACGATCGGCTAGATCAACACAAGCGCCTAGTCCATGGCTGCATCATCCTGAGAATCAAACCCCTCGAACAAGACAATCAGCCAAGACCAAAAACAATCCTCCTTGAGAATAAACTCACTAAAGCCTTACAGCTGCAGGGCGAAGAGTAGTGAGCAAACTCCCTGAGGTCTCTTGGAGCATCATCAAACACATTCCATCCCTAGCTGGACTACCAGCAACTGAAACCGCCGATAGAAGCCGAAACAGCATCTATGACGAAACAAAAATGAGGCTCATCAACGCCCAGAAAGCCATAACTCACCAACCAAAACCTCATGCTATATTGCAGGCCCCCGAGAAGGACTTCGAGAATTCCCACTCCAAGTAGAAAATCCCCCTTCCTCCGCTAGCATACCCTCCCACACACTCCAAAAGCACCTCATCCAAAAAAGCTTGGAAAAAAACTCAACCCCACCCCAGCAAAGCAACCACTAAACAGAGAGGAAGGACAATGCTGGAAAACAACCACGGATTTCTTCCCTTCCCGCTTAACACCAAACATCGAGCATAACCACCATCCACAGATCATGAGACAGGATCAACCACAAGGGAAGAGATAGTGGAGGAGAGAGGCTCACCAAAGATAAAACATCAGCACCAAAGAAAACGCAGGGAACTGCATTCCTCTGTTAGCATAATTCTATTAGTTATTAAGAATTAAATGATAAAGATGTAAGAAATAATATTTTTTTATATAGGTTGTTTTTGGTCTAAATTTGTTTTTATCTCTCAAAGGCGATTTGTTTTTTGTAAAAAAATAAAATAAAAATAAATTTCTTATTAGTTGAATAAACTAAAGAGTTCAACAATGCATACAAACTAACCATTACCTCAATAAAACTAGTTCATTGGGAATTGTTATGACATCAATGACACAAATGTTCGATCAGTTTTAAAGTGGAGTGTGCATAAGATACATTAATATAATCATCTAATTTAATTTAAGTACTCAAATAAATCCTTAAATCATATCAAAAAAGTCAGTTAAGAACTAACTTTCATTAGTCAATAATATAATTGTTAATTTGTTGCTACATCATCTACCAC